ATTTTACAGAAATAAAAATAATCAGAAAGCAAACCATTGCCAAGTAATATTTAAATAGATAAATATTTGGCTGTTGATATTTTAGTTTATTCATGTGAAGTCTCAAGTATATTTCAGTGCCTTAAGCAGGGTTGTAGAACACTGGAAGTAAGCTTCTGTTGCTTCATTTGCACTTCTGGAAATTTATAACTTGTATAAAAGCTGTAAAACAAATATGAACTAAGAAGTTAAAAGTATATTTTTCATGTATCTCACTGCCACATCTTCAGCCTGCTTTTCTTTTTCCTTTATTGAATTATTATGTCTTCATATGTTTACTAGTGAGACTATTTACAATATACTGATCAGGGGACAGCTCTTTGTTTTCCTTTTAGTTTTGCAGTGCTGTCGATGGAGATTGTGGCCTTCATATACTTGACAAACACTCCACTGCTGACCACACTCAGCCCCACAACACTGAATTGTATGCTAACTTCTAGCCTACACCTATGAGATGACAAAAGTATCACTACTACTCAATGTATACTCTAGGGACAATATTACTGCTGTCTAGTAAGCATTTCTTCTTTGTTTTCTTTGGTTTGTTTGTTTGTTTGTGTATTTATTGTTTGATATGTGTACACATTCATTGCATGTATGTTTTCTGCCTGTCCATCTATCCATCTCTGTGTGCATGCTTGCTTGCATGGGGTGTACCAGGTATCATACTGGATGTTGTCTTCATTTGATCTCCACCATGTTTTTGAGGCAGGTTTTCTTACTAAAACTAGCAGGCACCAATTTTGTTAATCTAGCTCACCAATGAGTTCCAGGGATCTGTGTCCACCTACCCAGTACTGTGACTACTTGCAGTGCTCCTGGGCCCAGCTTTGTATGTGGGTGCTGGGAATCTGAGTTCGGGATGTAATCCTTTTGCATTTCTGTGGAGCCATCTCTTCAATCTATTCTTCCTCCTTTTCTCCTAACCATATTTTTTGAGACACAGGATCTTATGTAGCTCAAGTTGTCTTCAAAATCACTATGTAGTTGAAATTGTCCTCAGAATCCTTAAGACGTGTTTCAAATAAAAAATGTTTAATTTTTCGGAAGACAAAATTAGCTTTATATTAATATACATGTTTCTGTTTTTACACACAAAATTGAGAGATGTAATAAATTCCATATTGGGAATTTGTGTGTGTGTGTGTGTGTGTGCGCGCGCACGCGCAAGGGCAGCATCAAATTATGCTCTAAGTGCTGGGAATTATACTGTCTCACCATATTTGAATGAATTCAAACATTTAAAAAATGTATATAACAAAATATATTGTTATTAACTAGACACTTCATTTTTCTAACATTAAGTGTAGTGTATTCATTGTTGTGAAGTTTGGATTTCTTTGTAATCTTTTGACTAAGAATTTGTGTGTGGTGGGAGTTCTGTTTTGGATTGAACCTAGGGCTTCGTGGAATACAAAGTTGTATACTTTACCACTGATTTAATTTCCAAACCCTACAGATAGATTATAGTTAATCCTATCTAAGTTCTGACTAGCAGTTACAGTAAATATTCAATATCCTAAAAGACAAGAGGTATTTCAGACTTGTAATCTTGGGAATATATAACCAGTGTTGATTATAGTCTTCCTCTTTTATAATTTTAATTTTTGTTGCTTTTTTGTTACAAACTCACTATGGAGACTAGGCTTGCTGGGCTTTATAGTACCCCCTCCCCCCAGTTATGTACTTAATATTGGTCTCAGTATAATGTGGAAGTACTGTTGGTTAATAGGCAGTTTCCTCAACATTACAACATAAAATTAAGTGGTAAAGGGTGTTTTGATTAAAGAGAGAAAAGAATTGGCAATATGTGAAAACATAACAAAAAATTAGTTCCAAAGTTGGAACCATAGGAGGCTCAAAGGAATATATATTCCCCTATGTTTACAAGATCAAAAGGGAAGACTTTACCTGTTAATGGTTATAATCCTTTCTATGCTGTTGTGCTAGGGATCAAAGCCACTTAGGCTTCACTACTAAGTTATGCCCCAAGTCCTACAAAGCTGAAAATGTCATTTGAATATAAAGAAGATTGGTTGCCCTCTTTCTAAAACAAATAGGAAAGATGACTAGTTTTTAAAAACAGTTTCTTTAATGTGTGAATGTGCCACAGTGTATGTGTTCAGGTTCGATGACAACTTTGCAGAGGTTTTGTCCTTTAACCATGCGAGTCCTGGAGATAGAATTTAGGTTGTCATACTTAGTGGCAATTGCCTTCCCCCTGCTGAGCCATCTTGGTAGCCCTGCACAGCAGTTTTTAAAAATATGAATTACTCCTCAATGAGAATAGATAATAACACTAGCTAAACAAATTTGAAAGGATCACACTGTTGTTGTTTTAAGCCAATTTTGGTGTTTTTACTTTCTCTGTTGATTAGGTTGACCTCAAACTGAGAGAACCGCCTTCCTTTGCCTCCTGGGTGCTGGGATTAAAGGCATGCACCATAACCACTAGGCTTTTGTTCCATTTTTGTTTAACTTTGCTTTGGTTTTGCTTTTGCTTTTTTGAGACAGGGTTTCCTTGTAACAGCACTGGCTGGCTGTCCTTGAACTCAGAGATCCATCTGCTTCTGCCTCCCAGTGCTGGGATCAAAGGTGTGCACCAGCAGAATTTTGTTTATAGTTTTGTTTTTTTAGTTAGTTCATTTTTTACATTCCAATCTCAGTTTCCCCTCCCTCTCTTTTCCTCCCACTCTTTCCACTCCCCCCCTCTTCCCACCTGCTCCACGGTTAGTGTAAGGCCTCCCATAGGACGTCTACTGAGTCTGTCTTATCATCTAGTTGAGACAGGACCAAGGCACCTCTCCACCCCCACACCCCTGTATCCAGGCTGGGCATGGTATCCTTCCATACAGAATGGGCTCCACTAAGTTAATTGGAATTTTGTGTTTTGATCTGATGGATAGAGTTTACTTTTTGTGACCTGTTACTGAGAATTTATATATGCTGTTTTCTACTTCATTGGTCTTAGTAAGGTCATGATAAATGCATTCTAAGTTTAGCACTGCAAACAAAATTTTAGTAAAAACAAAGGGACAATGTTTTTGTGAGTAGTTCTACTTTTAGAGTGGATTAATTTTTGATGATAAAGAATTAGTGTTTTTATATTTTGTGGTTTATTGGGATATGGAACACCTTATTTATAATTCATGTATTTAGTTTGTGGTTTATGTGTTAGTATATAGTATAAATGAGCCAATGTATATGCACTTCTGGAAGCCAGAGGTTGACATTGGTTTTTTTGAAACAGGGTTTCTTAGTGTACCCCTGGCTCTTCCAGAACTAGCTCTATAGACCAAGCTGACTTCAAACTTCCAGAGATAAGCCTTCCTCTGCCTCCCTAGAGCTGTCGATAAAGGTTTGCATCATCACACCTGGCTCAGTTACTATTTCTTAAAAAGATGTTTAGGTTTTAATGAATAACACATGGTCTTTGAACTACAAAACTTTTGCTGACAGCTCAGCAGTGGATCACTTGTCTTGCATGTGCAAAGGCCCTGAATTCAGCCTCTAGTACAAATATAACCAAGTACAGGAAAACTGTGAAAATAATTTATAAATGTTCTATTGCTATTAAATCCCTTTTCCTGAAAAATGTTATTCCTCTTTGTAAGTAACTATGGAACAATTTGCAAAGTTAAGACCGAACCCAGGACCCTACTGCATAGTTATCCTAAGTTTTAAACCAAGTTCTACCTCAGTCAAGTTACTTTTAGAAAAGTAACTGTCTTTAGTATTAATAACACTGTGCTCCCACTCCTTATTAGCATATACTTTTATGAAGACCATGATTGCCAATTATTTTTAATAAGATGATATGTGTTTATGTGCCTTTTTATGGTATATGTAAATGCTTTGTAGACCCTGATTGGAGTTACACAAAAGATCTAACAGTTGACAGAATTTCTTTATACTTGCTTTTAGAATAAAGGTGGGATTGATAAAAAAATTTGTTATAAATAAAATGTAGGTATATCACTGGTGTCTTTTTAACATAAAATAATGTTTTGTGGTAATTGTTACTATCTGGAGGATGTGTGTATATTTGCATACAAGTGTATTTTCTATTAATACTGTCTTGATTTTATGATGTTTTATTTGCTATTTGATGTCCACATTGTTTTTCTATGCAAAACCAGGTTGAAAATGGATACATTCAGTTCTGTATTTACTGTCCTTAACCTCAATCTTAATGTACAAATTGGAAACAATCATTTTGTGAATCACAGTTGCCTTTATTCTACAAGTTTTTTTTTTTTTCTTTTTTTTTCTTTCTTACAGGTTCTTCCCCTACCCTTTATGCTTGAGATTGAAACCAAGCTCTTGTGCATGATAGCTGGGCACATATTTGCCATAGATCTGCATGCCCAGCTATAATAAACTTTCAAAAGTCATAGTCACAATAATTTTTTTCAAGTTTACAAACTGCACATTTATGGGATACTATGTAACAATGTGTTTTGAAATATGTATGTGTGTGTGTGTATCATATAATGTTAAACATATCAGAGTAAATATTCCTGTATTATCATTTCTTCCTCATTAAAATATTCAGAGTTCAGTTTTTGGAATATATAGTACATTGTCATTTAGTCAACCTACTGTACATTAGCATACACTGTGATATTAAAAGTAGTGTATTTGCTGTGTGTGTTTGAAAGAGAGAGGGGAGAGAGAAAATTCTTTAATTTCTGCAATGAAATCTGAAAAGCTTGCTAAGCAAGAACTATGCATTTTGATAACTGATACTTAGGAATCTTAACCTTTGGATATAAAGTTGGTTCTAAGACAAAATTACTTTTTCTCAGGTTATTTGATAGGATCATGATTTAATAAATATATGGAAGAAGTATAGGTCAGCTATGTTTTGGGAGGATTTTTTTAATGTAAAAATTTCACTTGGATATTGTATTTGCATCTCAGTGTCCTGATAGATTTCTGTTTTGATTTTCTGCTGACAGGTCACATTTAGGGCAGGCAAAACATAAGGGATATATCCCTCCTGAGAGTAGAAAATCTAATTTTAAGGCACCCAAAGTGCAATCTAATACTACTTCTGAACTGTCAAGGGGACACCTTTCTAAAAGGTAAATTTTCACATTGCTTGTACAATTTCAAGGAAGGCTTAAATTGCATATAAATTATTGCATAAATTAAAACTTACAGGGTTATCTCAGATATTACTACACGTTTTCCTTTTTTCCTCTGAGTATGTTATTTTATTCCCTTTCTGGTGATATCACTGATACATACCTTAGGCAGTGAAATTTTTATTTGCTTAGGTTCCTCATTTACTTAAACCATGATTGCATTTAAAAAACCCTGTATATGTGTGGGTATGTGCACATGAGTGCCAATGCCCTCGGGCCAGAAGAAGGCATTGGATTTCTCTGGTGTTGGAGGTACCTGGTCTGGGTGTTGGGAACGGAACTCAAGTAAGTCCTATGGGAAGAATAGCAATTGCTCTTAATTGCTTGTGCCCCATTGTAGCCATTTGAAGGTGTCATTTAATTAACTTTTTCTTTAATGCTGGTTGTTAGAGTCTGTTTAAGTCAATTATTTTTGTTAGTTTAAGCCAAGTCAGTATTCTATTTTTTTGTGTGTGTTTTTGTTTTTCAAGACAAGGTTTCTCCGTGTTGCTTTGAGCCTGTCCTGGGGACTAGCTCTGTAGACCAGGATGGCCTCGAACTCACAAGAGATCCTTCTTCCCCTGGCTCCCCAGTGCTGGGATTAAAGGCATGCGCCACCAACACCCCCAGTATTCTTTTTCTAAAGAAATTTTATTTTATGTATGTGCTACATACATACGGGTGCTAGAGAAGGCCAGAAGAGGTTTTGGATCCCCTAGAACTGGAGTTATTGGTGGTTGTGAGTCACCATGTGTGTGCTGGGAATTGAACAGTGGTTCTCTGCAAAAGCAGCAAGTGCTCTTAAGTGAGCCATCACTCTAGATCACCAGTTGGTAGTAGGCTTTGCAAAGGGGTGTTAATGTGAAGATTCTTTGTTTTATAAGATGGTGTGTAACCTTTCAGGAAATGTATTATTTATGCTTATTTCCTCTACACATTGGGAAAATGTTTGTCTTTGAGAAATTTCAGTACTCTTTCTTAGTAGTGAGCATTCTTAAAACAATAAACTCTTTAGATTAGGAGTGTTTTAATGTCAGTGATCTTTGACCAAAGAGTACTCTTACTTTTGAGCTGAGCATAGTATCACAAGCCTATATTCCCAGCACATGGGCATGGAGACAAGACCTGTTTTCAGAGACTCTGTTAGGTATAGACCATTCTGAGCTGTGAGAGAGATAATACCTCTTCCTTCCCCCACCCCTATAAGAAGCATTCTTATTTTCCAACAAAATATATTTAAAAGCCACAGACTTTTCCTTTCATTTTTGAATTATTTGAAAATGTTAATATTGGGCTTCACAGAAATTGTCCCATCCCCCCCTTCTGTCCCAAGTACTTAGTCCAAGTATTTAGGGGAGTTGGGGAGTTAAGTGTTAGGTAGCAGGTTTACTCAAGATAGGCTACTACTAACTTTTTTCTTATCTAACTTCTTAGAAGCTGCAGTTCATCATCTGCTGTCATAGTTCCACAACCAGAGGATCCAGACAGAGCCAATACTTCTGAAAGGCAGAAAACGGGGCAGGTGCCTAAGAAAGACAATTCTCGAGGAGTGAAACGCAGTGCTAGTCCAGACTACAACAGGACCGGTTCTCCTAGCTCTGCGAAAAAGCCCAGAGCATTTCAACACATCGAGTCTGTCTCAGGAACCAATAAGCCACATAGTAAGTCAAAGAAGAGACATTTAGACCAGGAGCAACAACTGAAATCTGCACAATTGCCATCAACAAGCAAGGCTCACACCAGAAAGAGTGTGGCTGCTGGTAGTTCACGGAGTCAGAAAAGAAAGAGGACAGAGAGTTCTTGTGTAAAGAGTGGATCTGGGTCTGAATCAACTGGTGCCGAAGAGAGATCTGCAAAACCCACCAAGCTGGCTTCAAAATCAGCCACCTCAGCCAAAGCTGGGTGTAGCACCATCACCGATTCTTCTTCTGCTGCTTCTACTTCCTCCTCATCTTCGGCTGTAGCCTCGGCCTCTTCTACTGTACCACCTGGTGCCAGGGTGAAACAAGGAAAAGACCAAAACAAGGCCAGGCGTTCCCGTTCAGCATCCAGCCCTAGTCCCAGAAGAAGCAGCAGGGAAAAAGAACAGAGTAAAACTGGTGGCTCTTCAAAATTTGATTGGGCCGCTCGTTTCAGCCCTAAAGTTAGCCTACCTAAAACAAAACTGTCTCTTCCAGGGTCTTCTAAGTCAGAGACATCAAAACCTGGACCTTCTGGATTACAGGCCAAATTAGCAAGTAAGTTTATGGGACAATCTTTCTTTACTCAAAGAATATCTCCTGGTTGGTCAAGATTGATTATGCTTTTAAGTAGTTTTATTTATTCTCTCTTAGATTGACTATTTTATCTCCTTATGGCAGTGCATAGCAATTGAAATATAAGTTAAATTTGCAGAGACAGTCAAGGGAATGTTTTATTACTGCTAAGTAATCTAATTTCAGTGACTGTATGTTTGTCTTTACAGCACTGCTGATCAGTCATTTCCTAATGTCAGCATGGGGGAAATGTTGGTGTTCTCTACTATGTTTAAAGAGTGCAATATTTTATGACTTCTTTCAGGACATACACCCCACACCCCTTCTCAGGATAGTTTCTCCTTATAACTGGGGCAAACAGATAACTGGCTTTCTAACTGCTGATAATTCTATTGTAAGAAATAAATGACAAAGAGACCATTGAGCCACATCCTTTTCATTGGGCAAGGGGGGGTAGCATTTCTCTGTGTAGCCCTGGCTGTCCTGGAGCTTGTATTATAGACCAGACTGGCCTCAAACTCAGATCTACCTGCTTTTATCACCCATGGGCCACCACCACCTGTCCCTTTTTGCATTTATTATCAGGATTAAAGGTCTTCTTGTTTTTCAAGACAGTTTTATCTGTAGCAGCTTTGGCTGTCCTGGAAATCACTTTGTAGATTAAGGTGGCCTCAGATTCACTGAGATCAGACTACCTCTGCTTCCGGAATGTGAGATTAAAGGCATATTAAAGGTCTTAATTTTCTGTCTGTTATAAAATTCTTGACAGAGTCTCCACGTGTTGCTCAAACTAGTTTCAAGCCCTGTGATCTTAATGCTTTAGCCTGGGATTGCAGGCAAATAACCCAGTACTTGGAGCTCAGGTAGTTTTCTTTTTTGAGTCCTTATAAGACTGGCTAGATAGAACTATGGCATTCCTGGATTATTGAAAGCCTTTGAGTGGTTGCTGTTAGCATTTTTTTTTTTTTAAATTACATTTTTTTTTTTTTTTTTTTTTTTTCCTTCCCTGTGTGTGTTTGTGGGTACACATATGTCATGGTACATATGTTTAAGTCAGAAGACAGTGCTTCTCTACTTCCACCCTATGGATCCTGAAGATTGAATTTGGGTCCTCACACCCAGTAGCAGGCATCTTTATTGGCTGAGCCATCTGACCAGCCCTCATGAATGTTTTTGTTCAATAACTTCAGCTAACCACTGAATCAGCCTAACTTAATATAGAGCCTGAGGTGTTAACTCTGTTTAGCTCTAAATCTGTAGCTGTGTGTATACACACACACGCGCGCGCGCACACACACACACACACACACACACACACACACACACACACACACACACAAAACATGGGCGTGAGCTATGGAGCTTATGGAGCCAGAGGACAACTTGATTCTCTCCTACTTTGGAGTCTAATGTCTTTTAAGTTTGGTACTGAGTAAGCTCCTTAACCTGCTTAACTATAACATTTTTTTGTGTGTGACTAAATAATCATATGATTATTAGAAAAATGTCATTTAAAATTGTATTAAGTAATGCATAGTAGCTTGAAGTCAAAAGGAAATGAAAGACCTGCTTAAAAAAGCTTGGCATCCCATCCTGCCCAGGTTTTATTGTTTGTTTGTTTGTTTCTTGAGATTGGATTTCTCTGTAGCTTTAGAGCCAGTCCTGGAACTCACTCGGTAGACCAGGCTAGACTTGAACTTACAAAGATCCTCCTGTTCCTAAGTGCTAGGATTAAAGGCGTGTGCCACCACTGCCTGTCCCTATTTTTTTCTTTTTTTTTTTTTTTTTTATAATTGGAAATATTGATGTCAACTCCTATCCTTCTTACTTGAAGTGAAGTGATAGTGTGTGGCTTTCTTTTATTGTTGTATTTGTTGGGTAGCTGTGTAGTTTTCATAGCTAGTGAATTGGATTCTGTTTACATTCTTCCTTTCATCTCCCAATTCTTCACTCAAGTTATTTGGTTCCTATTTCTTTTTCTTTTTTCCTTTTGGGTTTTTGAGATAGGGTTTTCTGTGGAACAGTCTGGACTATCCTGGAACTCACTCTGTAGACGAAGCTGGCATAGAGATTACTCTGCCTCTGCCTCCTGAGTGCTAGTATTTAAGGCAGCACCACCACTGCCCCAGCTTGGTTCTTATTTCTTAAGGTAGTTCCATGTCCAGGTGATGGCGCATAGTAAGTACTACCGGGCCATGCCTTCATGCTCTACTCAAATGTTCATTTCTTTTTAAGACAGGGTGTCTTTATCCAAGTAAGGTTGAGCTATAGCTCACTGTACAGCTCAGGCTTGAACTCTTGATCCTCCTGCCTGAGCCTCTAAAGTGCAGAAATTACAGGCATGTACCACTAGGCCTATTTGAGGTTTCTTATAACAACATTTAAATTTTTTATGTATATGGGTGTTTTGCCTGCATTTATGACTGTTTGCCATTTGCATGCCTGGTTACCTCATAGACACAGGGTGTCAGATTCCCTGGAACTGGAGTTAAAGTTGTGAACTGCCATTTGGGTACTGGAAATTAAACCAGGGTTGTGTGGAAGAACAACTACTGAATACTGCCATCTCAGCTCTCCCAGCCAACCCCCTTAAAGAAATAGTTTCTAGGGTGTGGTGTGGTGGTATACTTTTCAAACCCAGCAGCCTGGAGAGTGAGGCAGAAACATGTAGACCTTTATAGGCTTGAGGCCAGTCATGACTGCATAGTGAGAGAGGGGGGAGAGGAAGGAGGGAAAAGTAGGGAGGCAGGCAGAATGAAGGGGTAAAGGAATGGTTTTTTTCCCCCCCCCCCTTCTCTCTTTTGAGACAGGGTTTCTCGGTATTGCTTTGGAGCCTGTTCTGGAACTAGCTCTGTAGACCAGGCTGGCCTCGAACTCACAGAAATCCATCTGCCTCTGCCTCCTGAGTGCTGGGATTAAAGTCATGCACCACCAACACCCGGTTAAAAGCAAAGATTTTATTTGTATATATTGATTATACAAAATTGGTTTCATTATGTCATCTTCATATATACAAATAACATTCTCCTTCCTCCTGGCAATTATTCCCTAATATTCTCTCTCTCTACCATCCTCTTCCCTTCCTCCCTCACTCCCTCCCCTCCCCCTCTCCCCCCCCCCCCAAGCGTGTGTATGGTGGTATACAGGTACCCATTTGTGTATGTTGAAGTCTGGGTAGCACCGTCTTTCTTTACCCTTTAGTCATGTCTTGATTCCTTATTGTGGAGGCCAAACTTAGGGAGTCAAGAGTTCTTGCTTCTGCCTTCCACTTTGGATTCTAGGGATTTAACTCTGATGTTGTGAGGCATGAATCATCTCTCCTGTGCCAAAATATTAATTTCTCTCACCCTTTGCATTGTTTGTTGCTCTTTGTAAGGCTCTTTAAAGCATTCGGCACTTTCTTAGTACTTTGATCAAGTCAAGTCTGTGCAGTTACTACTGAGCAGTGCAAAGATGCTAATCTATCGAGTATAAACATAGTTGTTTAGAAGGGAATATGTCTATTTAGTTAAAAAAATAATAGTAACTCCCACTAGAGCTTATACCACCCACCACAACTAGTAACACCATGAGTTTACAGTAACATGTGAATTCTCTCCTGTGGAGTGATTGGGGATGTCCTTCTGTGTGTGTTTCTCTTATTGATTGATGAATAAAACAGTGTTTGGCCAGTAGAGGCAGGAAGATAGGCGGGACTAGGAGATGAGGATGCTGGGGGAGAGGCAGAAAGGCACCTTGAGGAGATGCCAAAGGAGGTAGCCAAGACCTTGTGGAAATATATAGTTTAATAGAGATGGGTTAATAATTAAGACAGAGCTAGCCAATAAAAGCCCTAGCCATTGGCCAACAGTTTTATAATTAATATAAGTCTTTGTGTGTTTATTTAGGGCTAAAGTGGTAGAGGGATCTGGCTGGAAAGGAAATCCAGGAACAGTGGAGTGATAACAAATCTGCTCAGAAAGCAGTTGGGTTGCTTTTTTTCACAGACTTGCCATTATTGTGCCATATGTCACTTGGCTCATCTTGACATATGATCCACTGCTGAATGAAAGCTTGCCCAACAGTCTTGAACAGCCACTAGCACTAGGAGGGCTAGTCGGTAAAGAGAAAATTTCAAGCTTAAGTGCCAGCTTGATTTTTCTGCATCCTCTAACCTAGATGTATGGCCACTTGAGCGTAAGGTTTTATCAGCTAATTCTGCAGTTGTCTGTATTGTTTTGGGAGTTTCATGGGACTCTTGATTGTATAGGAAGATAGCCCAGGCTCTTTTTAAAGGATTTTCCTTGAATTAGCATTGAAAACAAACAAAAATCCACCAAGAGTTCTGTCAGTTAGTTGGAACATGAACAAACTAGCTATTCTACTAATCTTGCTTTCATGATCAGAAACTTGATGGAGTGTACCCAGACTCATTATACAGTATCACTTTCTCAGTGTATGTGGTCAGTGTATTGCTTTCCCAGTGTACCCTTTGTATTCCTTCCTTCCTTCCTTCCTTCCTTCCTTCCTTCCTTCCTTCCTTCCTTCCTTCCTTCCTTCCTTCCTTTCTTTTTGAGACAAGGGACAAGGTTTCTCAGTGCAACAATCCTGGCTGTCCTGGAACTTGCTCTGTAGACCAGGCTGGCCTCGAACTCAAGATCTGCCTGTCTCTACCCTCCCCCCAAATCCCTAGTTGGGGATTAAAGATATGCACCACCACAGCTGTAAAATTTGACCAACGCCCACCGTAGTTTATTTCTTTACAGATGTTTTCTTTCAACTTTAACGTGCAGTGAGAATGGGTAAAGAGCGTATTCTAAGATTTGATTGACAAGAACTTTGTGGTAAGGGACATTTTGATTCACTTGTAGTAAGAAGTATAGGATAAAGTTAAAAAGCCCAGAGGCAAAATCTAGTTAAAGAGAAATGGGATAGTTTTTTAAGTTAGCTGTGTGGATGGGTGACTGGCTCCTGGGGTCCTCCCTCTTTTCTGGAGCCTGGAT